GGAGATTAAAAAATGTTTAATAAACTAATTAAGTTGTACTAAAAGTTAATAGTGGTAAAAACAAAACATGACATATCTGTTACCAGGAGCTAAATCCTGTTTAACCAATAGGACAAAGGAAACAAAATATTAAGACACGACACACTGTTTGTTCAGTTATTATATATACAATGTTGTCGAAGTTCTCACTTGAGCAACGTTGTCTAGCAATTTTATATAACAGGCCACCACATGGGGCGGTAGTCAAGGCGCAGAGAGGAAGAGAATCCAACCCGACGGAGTCGGCCGATCAATTCTTATATAATCCATTCTGCACGTTATGGAAACTTAGAATACGGTTTGTTGAGAATAATATTTATGCATAACGTTTGACTGAGTTTTATATGTAACCCTGAGTGTACTGGGCCGGGCCGCCCAATGCCAACACGTTTTAAAACGTAGTTATGGTGCGGCCCAACTCAGCCCAATCTAGAGATGAAAGGAAGAACAGAACTAACTATTACTACTAAAAAGAAGGGAAATGCAAAAATAATAATCAGCATCACAGATTCATCAAATTAAACAACTTCAACTAAATTGGCTATAACATTATCAATTCCACAAATTACTAACATTCTTAACCAGTTTTAAGATGTTTTATAATAAACAGACACAAAACGACCCGACTCAAACATCAAAACATGAACAAGACGAGTTGATCGCCGAGATGCTACCATGTACCATCCAGCCCAAGGCCACTGCCAGTGTATCCTTCCAAAGTTCCGACTTTAGCAGCTCACACCTCTTTCCCCATAGCTCAGATGTTTACTTTGAATTTGGCAACCTGAAGCAGTCGATTTCTGCCACTGGCTAGTTCCGGTTCTTGGACTTCTCCATGGCCCTAGGAGCTATGGAACAAAGAAACAGGATGAGATGGGATAAGAGTACAATTCATCATTTAAATCAAAAGGTGAAAAGATCAGAATGTTTATCTCGTAAAATACTAGACATTACAATTATGTACAGCAGAGCCAAATAGAACTAGCAAAAATAAAAGCAATTGTCTACCGTAAGGCTAACTGAGTTACTGAAGTGCATGCCAAATCATTCTACTTCCCACAAATACCACAGTTCCATTCTTCGATCGAACAGCCGGAAATTGACAGGAGTGTGTGGAAGGTAAAAAGAGGTGTCTGGATAGCACCACCGTATCTTTTTGTATTTTATCCTACAAAAAATACTGAAAATGAATACAAATTAGTGTATGCAAGGGTTCATTTGGACCTCAAAAGTTTATATGCTAAGTAACTAAGATTCATGTATGCTTTCACAAACTTTTTGTTCGTGTCATCCTACACACATCATAGACGTCCAATACCATAGCTTGCATGCATACATAATCATCACATGGATACAAATTAGTGGATAAATTGGGAATTAAGAAGGATAAAATGTAGATTAATCCAGACTATCCAGTCCTTCAGATGATTAAGATCTCTAGTTTCTTGCAAGTATACAATATGGTATTGTCATCTTGACAATGGGGTAATGTAGCATTTTGTTAAGAAGATTCTCATCCTTCTCATATGTCTAAAATTTAGTATCACCCTCCTTCACAAGGTAAGTCCTCACTCTCATTGATGGGGGAATCCTAACATTCCCCGTTTTACAAACCATACATGTAAATTGTACGCAATACATCAAACTATACTTTTTTTTGTGTGAGAAGGGTTAACTTCAAAACAAAAGCTTCAATTTTTAAGAAAAATACAGGAATGGCAAAGCCGTGAATCAGAACTTACTCTCACGGGACATCCCCAACAAGCATCCAGTCACCATCCTTATCCTTGTATATAAGCACATATTCTGATCCATGAAGATCATCTCTCAGCTTACTCTCACTCAGTCTTTGCCTCCCAGGAGCTCCACGGGACCCTTATTGCACTGAAATCACAATTAAAAGTGCGCAAATTGGGTCCAAGCAGAAATGGAATGTTTTTTCTATATGTAAAATGAAATGACCACATTGGTACGAAAGAAAAAAAGAAGATATGATATCAATATTAAATACGGCAATAATTCACCTATGGTAAAACAGCTGAACATCTTTTCCAGAGCAGAAGACAGATCTTGAAATGTAGAATATGTTCTCAGGTGTTATAACCTTCCTCAGGTAGGGAGCCCCATCCATGCTGAACTTGACAAAAAGTCCACCGGGACCAGGTTTTCCGTTCACTTCATCATTATTCTTTGAGTATATGCAGAACATTTCACTTCAGAGAATCCGTCCATGGTGTCAGCAAAGCCCCTTTTGTTGCCCAAAACCCCATCCTTCTGTGATGAGGATCAGATTCCATCTTTGAAGGAAGCAAAGGAAACAGTGGTTTCTCGTCAAGTTTCCCTGAGTTCAGCAAGCAAAGATCTGATTCCTGTTCTGGTGATTGGGATCCAGGAAGACCGAGCCTCAACTCTGGAGCCTTAAAATTCAGATTGTTCTTATTCCCCTCTGACAAGTTTGAGACCACAGAGCTGTCGACTGAAGAACAATCTGACAGCCCATGGTAGTTAAGTTCTTTCAGTCCAGAGCCATTATGTGAGATACAGTCCATAGACCCATTGCTCTTCCCTTCCTCCTCACCACCCAATAGTGGTGGAGACATTAGCAACTACACTGCTGTAAAGGGAAACAGAACCAAATTATCAGATTCATGCTTGTAAAACTACCACTGAAACCAGAACATGAAGATCTCAATAGCACAAGATCAGAAAGCTTCATTAAGGTTGAGGTTTAACTGTCATCTGAATTAAATTCACAAAATGTGAAAAAAAAAAAAAAACAGTTCTAAGAAATTTTAATCGATTGAGCATCATGCATTTTCTTTTGCCACCAAAATAATTGAAGGCATGAATAAAGGGGTTTTCAGTAGACAAAACTTTCTGCTAAAACAAACAGTGCCTATCCAGAAACCAGTAATGCATAATCCATGTCAAACCAAGACAGATCAATATCTGAACAAAACAGATTCGAACTTCTCCTGTAGTAGTTTCCGGTGCAATGAAATTCATAGGATATAGTAAGTATTCATACAAAAAATTAAAACATTTGACAGGATCCGTCTGGGAAATCTAGATTAGTTGAAATACAATCAAATCCATGAAAGGGGAACAAAACCCAGATTGGGAAAGAGCTCACTGGTAGTGCACATATAATCAATGAACCAGACAACAGATCTTAATGGGGCTTTAAATCAGACCACAAGCCACCATATAGCCCAAATTAAAGGATCAGATGAAAGGCACTTGTAGCTCAACTGGGTAGGAGCATTTAGCCTTGCACCCAAGATCCTAGTTTCGGTTCCGCCTCCCTCAAATACCGCTCCATATAAAAAAAATCCATAAATTTAAGCAAACACTAAACATGAACAATACATTATGAACAGCCTAAGATAGTTGTAAGAATGAAAGAATCTCAGGAAGCAATTTGCACAAAAATCACACCAAAAATGGAAAAGTAAATTCCCCGGCAACGAAAGGTTGTAACAAACACAACAAGTATCCTCCCTCCACAACTTCACCTCACAAGCTTAATAGGAAACTTTGCTGCTTGTAATGTGATTCCATCAGAAGTCAAACCAAATGTACCATTAAAAACAAATTGAAAAGAGAACCGCGTTTTTATACTTTCTTTAAAAGGAAAAAGGTCAACTGGGTTATTAGCATATTGTTTGCATTAGAGCATTACCATTTTTTAAATACTTTTATTCTCCATTTTCTCATCTCCCTAAAATTTCTGGGAAACCAAACAGAAAATGCAAAACCAACTTTGAAAAGAAAATAGAGAAAATTGTACAGATCCACTACGATATAAAAGTCCCCAAAAAAGGGGAGCAAATTGAACTGAAATGCTCCAGGAATTTCCTTCAAATATTGAACAAAACAATATGCAATTGTGAAAAAATAAAAAACCCAAAATAAATAAATAAAGCCAACCCAGAGAGGCAAGATTACAGAGAAATCACAGAACACTGAGCTTTCAGAACGAACTCAAAAGTTACAGAGCATCCAGATCTCAAAACTCGACGACCCAGAATTCAAACAAGCAAAAAAAGAGCTCAGCTACAACCATCTACAATGTTTATTATATATAAATAATTATTAAGACTGTAAAAAAAATCTTTTAATTAGCAGGGAAATGGGAACATTGGGAGTAGCACGTACCTGATGAACTTGCGTGCATCAGACAGAAGAAGACCGACGAACCCTTTTTCTGAATTCTCAAAGAAAAAGCAATGGAAGAATCATAGTAAAAGCAGAGAAAAAGGAGAGAGATAAAAAAAATGCAACTTTAACAAAAAATTATCCGTACTGTTAAAATTATTTTAACGAAAAATTATATTTTTATATTAAAAAGTCAATCTTTATACTATTCATTTTACCCTTTATTCGTTAAAATTCAAAATTTTCAAATCATTTTCATTAGTTTAGTAATGCAATGAAATGAGTGCTTGTGTTCTCTTCTCACTGGCCTTTTAGTATTAGTGTTTTTCGTTTAAGGGGATCATTTAACTATGCATGTTTTGATGTATTATGAGATTAAAACACAGTAATTAATGGCATAGCGCATTATTGCTCTCAATCTTTGGTGCAAGAACAAAATTTGAGCCTCTAACCTAATGATCACTGCAAAAAAACAAATTAACAATAGCCACTAACGTTAGCTGTGCAAATGATGAGATGCGTAAAGACCTAGATATGACTAATTAGGCGGATAAATTCATATTCACCGACTTAGTCACTAATAATGTTTTACCCACCTCTTCTTGTACAACTAATGTTAACGTCTATTGTGAATTGAGACCACACTGCTCAAAAATTCATACATGAACACAAAACTCTTACCAGAGTCCCAGGCCAAAATCCAATTTCCTCACCTCCAAGATTGAAGTTGAAGTCTTACGGATCCAAATTCGCATCTTGGCTATTAAGTTGGGGGCCTCAGCCTTGAGCTTTGGTTAGTGCATTGCTAAGTGGTCAGTTATTTGGGATTTGAGCACCCAACAACAACAAAATTATGTTTATCATACATGCGCTTTATAGAGAAACACTTGTGAGATGTTACCCCAAGAATCACTTGAATTTTTAATAAACGGTTCAACTAAAAGCACTTCTAACTAAAGTGCAGTGCTTATGAACGTAAGTTGTTCCTACATAAACGATTTTCAAAAGAGCACATACTTCATTTTGTGGACCAATAATACTACAACGCATGTTTTTTTTTTTTTAAATTTCCATAATGTTTTGAGAAGTTTTAAATTATACCTATGCTAAAACCCAGCACAAAAATATTGTTCATTAACAGTAAACGGACTAAAGTACCCTCCAATTCCTTTGTTATCGGCCATTTTTTACCACTTCGACAAAGCACTATTCCCCTATTATGCACATGTCAGCCATCTTGGAGAGGGAAGGGGGATGAAAAGGCTCTTCGATCTCCAGTCGCTTCCAGAAAGCACAATCACTAGAAATCTCTATCCCAGAAACCATTCGTTCTCCATTTGCCGTTATCGTCCAACTCCGATTTAGCTACCCTTCGTCAACTCCATCTACTTTAACTTTCCTACATATCTTTTTGTCTTCGAAGCTCCAAATTCTTGGCCAAATAGAACATCGAACGCCCCGGTGGTCACCAGCTCCAGTTCGAGGTCGAGAAGCACTCGGTCAACGATGTCCCTAACGCCAAGATTTCGTAAGGTCTCAATGTCGAAGAAGATTTCGTATGCTTTTTGTCAACAATGACGACCTAACACAGATCATGTCCCGATTTGAAGAAAATTCTTCAAGCGGCTTTGAATTCATAGTGAGTCATCTCGCACTGTCTAGAATTTTGTTTGCGATTCTCTATTTCTCTCTTTCTTCCGTTCAATCTCTATGGTCTAGAATGCTAAAGTAACTAATTCTACTGCATACATATTAGCATTTAACCAACCAAAAGTATCATAATAAAATAATTTAGTTTGCCAATTAAGAGCTTTTTGTTCTCCAAGATATGCCTATTATCTCCCTTCAATATCATATTTCGTTCAGTTTTATTTGATGATTAGTTAGTTATAGTTTATGCACTTTTTAATTGCAGAGGATATCTATAACACAATACACTAATGATATTGATCTTTTTTTTTCCTAATGAAAGATGAAAGTCGTGACTGGTGTGAATATCGATGAAAATGATCGGAGTTCGTCACCATGGGAATCCCACTGGTGCTGGTTTTCAATTCTAGTGATTTCTAGGGTTTCATGGTGTGTAATGTTTAGGGATGTGGTTTGGGTTTGTGGGTAAGCAATTTTTAACTTGAAATTATTTCTTTTTTTAACTTGACTCCATTGATGAATTTTTTCACAGTAGCTTCAAATCAACTTCTCTCCTCTCAGTCGGTCATCTGCTTTGTTTTTTCTACAAGTATATCTACGTATACATTATGTACATACATATAATTGATTTCTGCTTTAATTTTACATCTATAGAATGAAAAATTGATTTTTTATTTATTTGGGTTTTTGAAGTTCCGAGGACGAGTTCGTCGTGGCCAAAGTTGATACTTTTTATTCCAAAATTGACTCCTTTATATCTCACAAAATAGTGTTGCAATTCTCACAAGGTATATTTAGAAGGAAAATAATTATTGATTTTTACCAGTAATTTTAATATTTTTTTTCTTGATTTTCTTATGAAATTTGGATTTTTGTGTTTTGGATTTGACTAAAATTCTTGAATTTATTAGTAAATTTGTGTTTCTTTCTCAATTTTCTATGAAATTTTCAATTTTAACTAATGGGGTTTTGTTAAAATTTTGTATTTCTCTATGAGTGATGCAAAGTGGTTGTGCTTCATGTTGTAGTAACCTTGGGTGGTAATTGACTTGATCTTTCATAGTTTAGATATATTGTCTTTGATGTTTGAATTTTTAGGGTTCAATATTTAAGAGCCATTTATGAAATTTTTAGTTCCTGAATTGAATTAATATTCAATATTTTGCACTTCCCTACTAATTGTTGAATCTTTGATGTTCTAATTTCGGGTGAACATTTAACAGATTTATTAGGAACAAGTCAACAAAATAATTTTGTTGAATGCCTTACATATATGGACTTTCGAATTGTTTGATATGTTGCTGGTATAGAATGCCTAGAGTGAAGAGTGGCATTATACTAGGACTATAGTCAATTCAGTTGGACTGCTTTCTAGGTAGCCTACTTGAGCATTTTCATTTCTTATACTAAAAGAGTTCTTAAGGTAATCAACCTGCATCTCTTCTTATTAAGGTACCTTTTACAACTATGCATTACTGACTATTTGTTATTCTTTAAAATGTTTATTGCTTGACATTGTTAATTAATAGCAGTTTTTGTTCTATTTGTGTCCATTGTCTTTGTCAGCTTAAATTTTTGGACTACAATGGGAGGCAATTATTCATTGGATACTTGAGTACTCCTTCACTAATTTTCATGTATGTTTGCCATTGATTGTCATCATAACTTCGTGTCGAATGATCTTCATTCAGATTGTTCTTAGATGGTTGAATTTGTTCTCACTCATGCCTTTTTTTTTTTTTAGAATTTGGTGATCAAAACAAAAAGCGTTGAGTTCATGCCATTTAATCTTTTCTTTGCAAATTTCGTAGTGAGTTTCTCATTCATTGCACAGGGAGTGTTCAAGGTGAACCTTTCTCTCTATGTAAGTACTATATATCATTCAATCCAGAATTTCAGCAGTTATATAATCTCGATCATCAAGGCACCTATTTGTCATTCTCATTTCTTGGTCCTAATGGCATCTTAAAACGTGGTTGAATGTCCTTCACATTAAGCACCAATCAACCATATCACACTTGCATTGCATAATCATTAAGTTCATTTCTTCAATATTTTGGATGCAGATGCCAAATGATATTGAGGAACAATTTTAGCCTTTGTACAATTGGTTCTATTCTTCTACTAAAAAAATTCATCTAAAGAAGACGCGGAAAAGAACCATTGATAGTTGCACATCAGTGTTGCAGAGATTTGATTCAAATTGGTGGATTTGGGTAAGAAACTAAGAAACCCTAACATTTCTTTCGATTTTAAGAGCTGAAATGGACATGCATGTGTTTTTTTTGTGAGATATAAGGGATTGAGGAATTTTGAGAGTGGTGGCTAGCTAAGGAAATAGAGAAGGGATAATTCTTTTTGTTTTGGGATCCAGAGTTTATTGCAAAGTTGAATTCTCATGATTTTTTTGTTGTTCTAATGTCTTTTGTTCATGTATTTGAAAGCATTTTTTTTTATTTCTGCCAATTTATCTGAACCCCAATTCAATTTGCTAGAATTCATTAGAGAGTATTGGGTCTGATCATTTCCCTTTAATTTTTCAAGTTGTTTATTTATTTCTATAGGGGAGTTGCAGGTGTCCATGTCAAATTCATAAAGAAAAAGAACCATTATTTTAGGGAAATTGTTATCGACACTCCAAATTTCTCATTATATACTTCAAACTTTCTATACTTTGAAAGAAAAATACACTTGTAAGAAGTGTAGAATGAGATTTTTGGAGTGCCAATAACACTTCTCTTTTCTGGATATATTGAAACATGTAAGAAATTGTTCTCTACTAACATTTCGGGTTTAATTTCTCTACTAACATGTAAGAAATTATGTTACATGTTCAGTTTCTTTTAGTTTTACTATATAGATAGATGTGTATGTATTAGCATTCAATTTATCCCCACTCTCTTATGGTGTTTACTACACCATTGTTGCACAATCTCTGATGGTTCCATTGTTGGGCAAAAATTTGAGATTAAATTTAACTCAAAATAAAAAACTAGATCACTACACAAACTATTATGTTGTTTGCATATTTAGTTGTTTTGTAACTTAGTTGATTTAGGTTCGTGTAGTTTTTTTCCATCTTAGAACCACTGGCTTGCAGGTTTTCGAGTGTTAAAAAGTGAATAGCTATTTCAATTTCTTATTTTTTGCCTCAAACGTTATAAATCTAAATTAGCCTAATAATCTTAACATATATCTGAAACTTGTCCGTGTGCACATGCAACCAGCACAATCCAACAAAACTTTTGCCGCTCTATCATTATGTAAACTCTCAGCTCAAGTAACTACTCACTTTCCATATGCTTTCCATTTCTTGATACATAAAACAATTTACATAATTTTTATCCATTAGATCACATGACTTGGCATTTACAATTATATGATTTCTAATTGTTTGTATAAATTTCTTTTCATCTTCAGCAAGATGATCTCATGGCATAGTTTAGCAAATATTCACTATATCATGACAAATTGTTTCTTTGCACACACTTATTAATTAAAATTTATATACTGCAATGTTAGAAATATAATTATCCATCTAATCGCGGACATCACTATCTAGTACTCCACTAAATTTCAAAACTCAAGAGGACATATGTTGTAGTACTATTGATCCATATCATTGTAAATAAAATTAGGTCTTGAATGATTAGACCCAATTCCGAATTGAGTATAACAACATCAGTTTAATTGGGTTGGTATTTAAAGTTTGGGTCCTTTACTTTTTTACAAATGATTAAATAACTACAACAAATTCATCTAAACTACAAAAATGGTGGTTCGAACTTGACTTTGAATAGTGTATCACACTCCTCGAACAACTTGACCTAATAAAAACCTGCCAAAGACACTTCATTTGGGATGATGTTGTTTAGAGCACTCCAACCCATCATTTTTGTCATGGCAAGGTGACAAAACCACTCCAAACACCCTTTACCCATTATTGTGAGCCTTGGCAACTCGCAGCCATGGCAGAATAAAGTCACCCATGTGAACATTCTACATGGAGCCCGATAGAAAGCTGGAAATGCATCAGGCTTTGCCACGTGACACTTTTCTGGCCTTCTGATTTGAATTTGTCACGTGATAATTTTTTGGCATTCTGATTTAATGGTAATTTCAATTCAAAGATCTTTATTTTTTGGTAAATGAAAAACCTATTAAAATTTAAAAAATGTATTTTAACTAAAAAAAAGTTTCAATTTTCTTATCGAATATAAAATGTGGGCGCATAGCACAACTATAGCAACCTATTCTAATGGGTGGAGAGTAAATTAATCGTTGGTAAGGCAGTTCACTATTCATGTTAATAATAACTCCCCCAACCCTCTTTTGGGAGCCAAATCCACCAAAATGGTTAAAACTGCTCTTAGGGTAACTGAAATTCCAACTTTGTAACCTTTTGGGAAATCCTTTGATACAGAAAGGAACATAAGACAGGGACTTGGGTGAAATTTTGATCCACACATATAATATGATATGTTTTCACAACTTTTTTTTTTTTGGCCTACCATTTGCATGGATGAAATTTGTCTTGAAAGTGAAAGGAGGTAAGAACAAAAAAGAAGCTACCACGAAATTGCGTAGATGCGGGAATCATCGATTCAATGCTCTCCAACAGAAAGGAGACTGCGTTTTTTGGAAAGCAACCCAGCTTCGATGGGTCCGCAAATGTGACCCAAAATTAGCAGATAGCGGAGCGCTCAGGCTTCAGAGTTTTAGCAGGTGTACGCAATAGAGAGGGTGGCCATATTTCACTTTGTTCCGACAAGCAATAACCAACCTAGTTGCTGATGTTATTTTTGGGTTTTGATTTAAGTGCTTTGGCCAAATTCCATGGTACGATAGCATATCTAATTCAAAATTAATTCCCCGGCCCCTAGTTATGATCTGATGATTTATCATTATTTGTACCTCTTAAGGTCAACTCTTGTAGATAGCAAGTTTGGTACCAAATTATTAAGGTTTGCCCCATTATGTGACCTAGTTCAAGTTTTTCACTCTTTCGTATTTATATCGTTATATTAAATCAAAACTGAAATTAACTGATAACGAGTTGGTACGTTCAAGAGCGGAGCCACCCTTAGACTAGGGTGGCTCTAGCTTTGTGCAGGTTTCTTTAAACCCAGAAACCGGGTGCAAATTTTTGGCTTGTCTACACCACTCGCTAGAAATTAGCTCCCCCCACAACAAAAGCAGATGCACTCCAACCAAGCAACTTTCAATGTAACACCAGTCGTCACTCATACATAATACAAAGAAGAAAAAAAAACTGTAACTCATCCGAGTGAAACTTAGATGTACCTTTAAGATGTCTAAAATACCAAAATCGTTATTCTGCTGTCCAAGTTTTACTTTCTCGATACGAGACAATACTATGGACCTATGGTTAATTGTACCAAAACAAAATTTGGCAACTCCATCTTTGTTTCATTTTCTTTTTGAAAATTGCACGAGTTCGAATTCTTGCTTTTCCTCCTTTCTAATTCTTCTTTCTACGGGTGAGAGGAACTTGTAGATCAAGTGAACTTTTCTATGGCAAGTAGAGACACAACTATTGAATCATTTGGGTCACTTTTTTTAGCTTCATTTGCACGTTAACAAGTCTACATCATCAAGAAAAATTAGTACGGACGGATTTTGCCAGTCTTTGTCTAAGAAAAATTAGTCAAAATACAGGCCAATTATCTGGTAAACAATATTTCAAAATTTGAGTTCCACACGGCATATCTTCTCAAAGACAGCAACCCCATTGTGGTTCATGTGCATAATGGCTGCTTTACTGAATAAGACATTTTGACAGTAGCAGTACTAGTAACAAATTCTGTTGTCCGTTTTGGACGTTTTGGTGCATTTTTTCTTCTTCCTCTTTATAGTTAATTTACACGACCTTAACCATCTCTTCAACAACACACTCAATGAATTGACTATAAGTCACACTTCTCATTCCTAATTCGTTTTTCTTACTCAATTGTTAATTATACTCCAAACAATCCCTATAATAATAGGGATGATAAACGCACATTCCTTTAGCGTTTTAAATATGTTTGTTTTTGTTTGCTTTATTCAATCTAATGGCCAACATCTGAATTGGTAGTATTGAACTAGTTTTAGTCATCAACGACGCACAACACAAAGCGTTACAAACAAACAAAAAAAAGGAAAGATAAAAAGAAAAAACACTCGGAAAGAAGCGTAGCTGTAGGTTTGGAGGCTAATTGAGAGGTTCATGATTTTAGTGCTTTTCTTAAGATGCACCGAAGTACATTTGTACTTTTAAGCCAAACTGCTCATTTACATGACTACACAACACCAAGCAACATTTTTCTTCATCTCCAAGAGTTGAGTGTGCAGCTTTGAATGGAAAAGTTGTATCAGCCTCATAAGTGGAAAACCCCTACTTGCCAACTTCCGCTCGAAAAAGTTCACGTATCTTAGTTGTCTACCATTTTAGCCCCCAAAAGAAAAGGACTAAGACTAAGGCTCCACCTAGGGGTGGGCAAACGGGTCCTAGACCCACGGGTCGGGGTGGGTCCAAAAATTATAAATACAAAACGGGCCAGGTCGGGCCGGTTCCTGGTAAATAACAGGGCGGGCCGATTCTAAAAGTTAGAGAAAACGGGTCCTCGACCCTGATCGTTCATTCCTACTGACTATTGTTTATTACCCTTCTCAGACCTAATTTCACTCAAGCCTCACCCTCACTCTCTCTCCCGAGTCCACTCCGAGTCTCCTCCCTCATCTCTCGATCTCTCTCAATCTCTTCCCGATCTCCTACCTCTCGATCTCCTCCCTTTCTCTCTCTCCCATCTCACCCGCCCTAAACCCAACTCAACCCCTTTCTTCCTTTTGTCTTCTCCAACCTTCACAAAGCATAACCAGACATATACCCAGGAATCTGCTCAAGATCCGCGACATTGAGCTCCGCCTCCCCCGCCGTCCTCCATAGGTACAGTAAAATTACACACACACACACACTTATATACACACGTATATGTGTATCTAAATATTTTAATTTAAAATGTTAGCTTTGAATTTATGAAATGATTGTTAGATTTTATGCGGCGGATGTGAGGGCGGAGAGCTTCGAGGTGCTCGACAAGTGCAAGAGGAAGGTTGTAGTGACGACGAATCCAATGGTGATGGTGGAGCGGGTCTGGGCCTGGGTCGGTTCGGGCTTGGCTGAGACGATGAGGGAGTTGAAGATCAGGAGGATGAGCGAGTCTGGGAGACGATCAAAACCAGAAGATAAAAAAAAAAGTAAAGAGGACCTGTGGACTCGTCCTGAACCAGCTCGTTTGAAACGGGTCATGTTAGGTCCGGTTCCAATGATCAGATTTGCAATACCCGGCCTAGCCCGTTTTCTTTTTAAGCAGGTCCGGTCCAATCCCCTTAAATTTGGGCCCGGTCCGGCCCATGCCTACCCCTAGCTCCACCGTCATCCTCAAGGGATAAGCATTGCAAAAATAGGCATTTTTAATTTGAAAGCTTAGTTGAAGCAAGTGTCGTGTAACCCAAAGTAGTTAAAAAAATTTATGCCTGAAATATTGTTATTGATCGATTATCTTTTCCCTCGTTGTCCCTCTCGCTGACAGACAAATGAAAAATATAAATCTGCAGGGAATTACTCACCAACCTCATGCAACACTGATTGAAGGAGTCGATTATAAAAGTTTGGGTACCCATTAATGCTTTTGCACATGTTAATCACCAATAACATGCAGCACGGGCATAGCCATCCATTCATGAACACTAAATTGAATGCTTTCACATTTTTTTTTTTAACAAGCGATACTATCTATGCTAAGAGGGTGAAAAAATGGACTAAGTCTCATAATGAGTTAGTAATAATGTGGTTCAAATTCATCTTTAATAAGAATCGAACCTAAAATCCTCTACTTACAAATAAAAATGATTAATATTACTATAATGTAGTACTAAGCGGGCGAATGATTTTACAATTAGATCCAATAGACCAAATTCCCTCTTTAATTCCGTATGCTTAGCAACCATCTAAAGCTAGACCCCACTCTCATCCCGTAACAAGGACCTCAGTCTGTCTTTACGCGTACTCTTTCTTCTTGTTTTTTCTTATAAATAAATCCCTCATTTCCAAACTCCCCAAAACCAAAACCAAAACCAAAATCCCAGTTCCTTCACCCAACAACAACACTGGCTCCTCTGAGTCCTCCCCAACACATGAGTGAGGGAAGAAGAGCATCGCCACCACCGTTACAGCTGCCATCGTCGTTGTTATCATCGGATTCAAGTGATGGAGAGCCAGAACTTTTCACCACCCCACGTAGATGCATCTCGGCCGTCCTTGGGCTTCCCTCTCGGCACGGCTCTTCTCTTGATCATCATATTCAGCCTCAGTGGAATCTTCTCGTGCTGCTACCACTGGGACAAGCTTAGATCACTCCGTAGATCTTTCAACCAAAACGCTGACCCCGAGGCCGATGTCCAACCGCCATCTCCCTCCAAATCTAAACCTGCCCACTTGGTAACTAATTAATTACTTTTAACAAATTCAGTAATTTTACTTCATCAATACTGCCCTCTGACTCCCTCCCTCGACAAATTACTATACGAAGTTATGTTATCATACTGTCACAGTCTTCCATCATAACATGTCGTATCCTATGTTATCAGACTGTGGATCTGAAATGCGGTTAAACTCATCATAACATGTCGGATGTTGAAGAGATTAATGATGTTATTTGTTTCTTAATTAGGATTTGAAGCAGAAGCAGAGGGAAAGCTTGCCGGTGATAATGGCAGGTGACCAGATTCCAAAGTTTATGGCATTGCCATGTCCTAGAGAACCTCCGAGGGATGAGAAGACTCTGGTGAAGGTGCAAAAGCAGCCCAAGCCACCTCGATTTCCTGTCCCTTTGTATTAGCAATTTGTTGACCATTTGGTGTGCGTACATGCTACATAATCATATATAATATGTAACATTCAATTACATTCTAGTTTCTATACCAAAAAAAAAAAAAAAAATTTGAAAATTACGTTTTAGTCATTTTTTTTATAAGACAAAGGGATACATTACAAATTTTCCACCACCATTACCTGTTTTATTTTACACTTGTTTTATCTACCACCATTTTAATTACATTTGTAGCTCAGTTTTATATTAAAAGTGAGATGCTAAACTGGATAATACTTGCATTCTCCTCTTTAAGGATGAACTCATTCTCCTTGTAAATAATGTATTTCGACCGTACAAATTTCATAATTGGAAGCGTTCAATTTTTTAATCTTCATTTGAAGATTACCCCTAAAGTAATCATTTAAATCGAAGACCATTTAGTCATTCAAATGTATAAAATGAATTGACGGTGTAGTAATTAAATTACATATTCGTGATGAAATGTCCATTTATTTGATGCGTTTGGATGATTAAACAATCTCTAATTCAAATATTTTTTTTTTTCTTTTCATAAGTGATCTTTAATGAAGATTTATAAATTGAACGGTTTTAACCATTGATTTTATTCAATCAAAGATATGGTATTCACAAATGGAAAATATGTGCATCCTTACCTATAGATGCAATTATTATCCTTCTACACGAATCTATACTAATGGAAGGGAAAGTGCTTCAATCAGAGACGCAAAGTGTGTGTCAATAGAGTGCTTTGCTAATTGCTATACTTTTCTTTTCTAGGGCTTTCTAGCTAATTAAGCATATGATATCCTTTCAAGTACTACGAATGTTGATTAACATTTTCGAAAGACCTAAATGATGGTGATTAAAATGGAAGTGGAACCATTCGCCATTCGGTGCGGTAATAATATGCTGCCAAATATGCAATTCAGACTTGGATTGCCAAGTGTACTTAACGTGAAAAGCCAGCTTGAAGTTGAAGGGAACACCAGCTTTTGGATTTGAAGCAGGTGCAGATTGATTTATTGTATGAATATATGAAAAAAGGAACCTGAAAAAAGTCTTACCACTCATATTATATATATGAGATAGGATCGGGGATATTTATTTTTTGATACAGATTTTTGTACGACTCGTTTTATATTGTACTTCAACGATCTAATCGTTTGTCATTTAGGTCTTCCTTCAAGGATTATATCTACTAAAAAAAATAAAAATAAAAATAAAATAAATAAATAAAAACACCTAAATCCAAAACCATATGATTGTTAGATTGATAGACATTTTTGTGTTTCTTTGTAAAATCATATTATTGGTTTTAGATTTGTCTAATTTTGTTCACTATAAATAAGTGTATTATTGGTTTTAGATTTGCCTAATTTTTTGCAACAATAATATATTAATGATGAATTGAAATATAAACTATTCGGATTATTAAAAAAAGCTACGGAGTGGGCCCTACAAGAATTTTTTTTTTTAAAATACAACAATAAATGTACCTTAGGTGTGGGAATATTTTTATTTATTTTTTTTTTGTTTCAATGGGGATAACTGGTGATAAGTTATGGTTATTCACCCTTCTGGGCTCAAAGAGGCTATAAGGAATTTCACCATACCTGTACCCATAGTAAGCAGACTTGCCAGCTCGGAGCATCGAACTCGGGGACCTCCTACATTTTTTTGTTTATTGTGGAGTTACAGTCTCCACCCTTACTACTGGACCACTTGTTGTGGTTCATTAGGTGTGGGATTTGAACTAAGCCACATAAGAGCAACTCCATCGTTGCTAAGGCCCCCCTAGGGCTATTCACTATTTAATCCACCATGTGAACAGTAATTGCCCTTAATAAACAGTAACTGCCCTTAATAAACAATAACTACCTTTTGCATCTCCACCCCTATACTGAATAGCCCTAGCAATAGGCAATAAAATAATAGTATTTTTTTATTTATAAAATAATACAAAATAATTATTAAAAAAAAGTAAAAATTAAAGATTAAAGATTAAAGATACAAATTCCATTGCAAAGTTAATTCAGCTTCTCATACTCGTCAAATTTTGACTAAAGTTTTCATCTTTAAAACAATTTGCTCAAGCAATTAACTAATCAAATTATGCAATTCTAATTTCTAATTAGAAATTAGAAACAATTAGCTAATTCGGAACTAAAGAATTCAGCTTTAAAGAATTTGATTTAGTTAATTAGTTAAATTACGAAAAATTAGAAACTGTTAATCAATTCGGAAACTTTGAGTTGACCTCGTCCTCTGCAGAGCAGTGGTACTCATACACGAGCTTGAGGTACTCAAATCGCCGCAGAAGCAGGAGAACGAAGTCGCGGTCTTGGTGGTCATGCGATCCACTCTCCAAGGCGGCGATGGTCACGAGGTGGAGATCGAGGAGCTCGGCCTGCAGCGCCTTGTGGAAGTAGACGAGCAGGAGGATCGACATGTTGGCGAGCGGGACATGTGTTGCGGATGTGGAAGAATCCGGCTGGGCATCATTTTGTGAAGGGATGAGGAGGCATTGGGGAGAGGAGTCGTTGTCGCCTCTTGCGTCGACGAGAAGCTCGCCCTCCATCTTTGAGATATCGGCGTCACCGGCGTCGAGATCGACCTCTGCGAAGAGCTGTCCAGGCCCGTTCACCACGTGGCTGACGTCAGCCTTGCGTTACATGCCCTTCGGGGTTCTCGGGCTGGCAACTCCTGTCGGGCCTCTCCCTCGGGCCCGCTCGGGCTCCATAGCCAGCACACGCTAGACCAAGTTGCTTGTGCTTTTTGGCCCTATTTGAGAGCCAATCCATCGGGCTATTGCTGACAGTGGAGCTGCTCTAATAAGACAGCCATTTGGTATCAAAGTTGCCATCTACTAGAGTCGAACTTAAGATCTGTCACTTATAAGTGAAGAGCGATATTTGGACCAAGCCACATAACAAGACAATCACTTGGTATCGAACTCGCCATCTATGGATCTTAAACCTAAAACTTTTCATTTATAAATGAAGAGAAATACTATTAAAACGTAGTGTTAAGTGCTTAAAAACTCCTCTAAAACTTGATGTAAAATATATATTATTTGCATGAATAAAGATAAAAATATACTTTCTCCAACCAAGTGGAGACAATTATAATTGAACTTTACAAACTTTCCACCATGAAAAACCCTTCTCATGATTCAAGTACATATAACCCTTTCCCAGTCTGGTACGAAATGATAGAAATGGCCCCTAATTAAGTAAATACAAGCGGTGGAATCTAATTTCGAACTCATCTGACCCAGAAATAAAACAATAAATAAATAAATAATAGAAGTCATGTAAATTGGATGAGCATGTTGGGTAAAAGACGTGAAAGGTGGAAGCAGGGGAGTTGGTGACAAAGGACTACGGCCCGGCACAGGCCCCGCCTGCTTTTGTTACCTTTTTCCCCATTGGACTCATCCCATGCCATCTGTCAAGCACACCGACTGGTTTGCTTTACTCCATTTTGAGGGTTATTATTAAATTCCAACATCTTTCATATATAATATAGCCTTTATGAACGTGCTCACGAACGTGCAGAAGATATTTTTTTAAATCACAGCATGCTATGCACGATTTACATATTTTAAATATATTTATATGTGTAAATTGATAAAAGGAAAGTCAAATATTTGAAGTAAACGAATAATTTTAGATCATGCTAGAAGAAACCTGTCATAAATCAATTAACGCAGCTGAATTCATATAATAAAATCGGTTTTTATAGAATTTATATTAAGAATAGAAATAATATTTAATAAACAATTGATTGAATCACATTATTGTTAACACATTGTGAGGCTAAGCTCACCCCCTATCCTTTAGTGTAGATAATATCGTTTATTTTAAAATAAAATAAAACAATTATTTGACAATTAATTTAATTACATTATTATCTGTGTGCAAATTTTTTTTTTATAAAGAAAATAATATTTAATAAACAATTGATTGAATCACATTATTGCTACCCTATTGTAAGGTACTAATTTTTATTTTTATTTTTTAAAAAAAAAACTTTACTAATTTATCAACGGTAATACACGTCTCTTAAGATGTTTTGAACACAATATTCATGATTTTCCTTATTTTTTTTTATTATCCCCTTCACATGGGCACATCAACTTTCACTCATCCTTCCATTTATTTTTTATTCTTTTCTCTCTTCCCACTTATATATGGATTATATTTTATGATTACCAAATTAGCCCTGCATTATTTGATATATTGTATTAGGTTACTTTTGGATTTTTTGGATTGAGGGGCAATTTTATCCTAATATTTTTGTCGAAGCCGTGACACCAAAAGAGCCTTCCAGCTTTATATATAGAAGATTCAGCTTCTAAGAATTTCATTTTCTTTGAAAGGTTTACTTTTTTACTGGGTTCATGTTATGGTTAGAAGTCAAGCATGTTTGCCTTGTTAATGATGGCCGACAAGTGATAAGCACATCAAAATCTTTCAAAGACTTGGTCTAGATATCCTTCTAACCAAAAAATATATTAGTACGGTCTAATTATATCTTACATATAAAAGGAAAACAAATCACCGGTTTGCTTTTGTTTTCAGGACCAATAATTTACTCTTCAGTCGATCAATTTACATGGCGAGAAACGACCCAATTTTGAGCCGAAAAGTGTTTTAAGTACCCAATCAAGACCAATAAGCACCACTACCAGCTAATAAACAAGTAGACAAAGCACACAATTATGTGCAATACAGGCTATTGTATAGTGACAGACATGAAGACGAATAATCTCCAATTCGTATTAGGATTTTCTTGAATACTCTGGAGTATCTGATACTTTAAGTGCTTTAATTATTATATTTTTATTTAAATATACAAATATTAAGATTCAATAATTAAAACATCTCAAGTACCGAGTACCCTGGAGTACCCAATCTTTTATTATTTTTCCTGTCCATAATTTTCTTTATTTGTCAAATCATTTAGGTAGTGGATCGACGTAATCACGTTTGAGTTTTTATTTTTTATTTTTTAAATTATAAGCTTCCGACTGTGTACATTTAAAACGCAAGGCGATAACTGTAGATTGTAATATTAACAGTTTGTA